CTCCGCTCGGCCACCGCGCATGCGCAGGCTAGTCGGCGTGCAACGTACCTGTGCAAAGCTAGAGGCGGACACTTTTTTCTTCTTACCCGGGCCATATCCGCCGCCGCTGCTGCCGTTGTGGGAAGGACTGGCTGGCCTCTTCTTGCTGTTCCGGGATATCCCCGGAGCGGCCGTGGTGGCCACAAGTGGAATTTGAGCCGCCATTCCTATCCTGAGTCTTCTCCCCCCCCCAACCCCCCTTGCTTTCTCTGCAAAGGTCTTGGGACTTCCGCCTCGAGGTTAGTTCCGTCTTAGTGCCGGAAAACCCGGCCTGGATTCGCAGAACATCCGCTGACTTCTCTCTACCGAATCCAAAAGGCGGAATCCAAAAGGCGGAGCTGGGTGCAGCCAATTCCGTGGGGACCGGAAGGTGTCTGCGGGTGGCGTCCTGCTACTCCCCAAAAGGGCACGTGCTCGCAAATCCCTAGCGATCAAGGAATAGAACATCTCGCCATCTTTATTTTTAAAAATAGGTTTTTAAAAATAACCCTGTTGACTTTTCTGACGTGAAGTCAGAAGATGGATCACTTTTGCCCCGGGGCGTGGCTCAGTGGTTGAGCGTGGACCTATGAACCAGGCGGTCACAGTCGATTCCCCCTCAAGGCACATGCCTGGGTTGCAGGCTCAATCCCCGGTGTGGGGTGTGCAATTATTCTCTCTCATTGATGTTTCTATCGCTCTGTCCCTCTCCCTAAAAATATATATATTTTTTAAAATAGATGGGTCACTTTTGATGTATGTAGCAGTGAAAGTAGGGTCATTCTGGGTGGATTAGACAGCTTCTAGCCTTCCCATTGATCACTGCCTTCTCAGGGAAGAAGTTTGTGTGTCAGTAGAGCCCAAATGGACTTGAAGGGTAGACTAGTTCTTAACCTTTTAGAGGTCACAGACCTCTTTGAGCATGTAAGCTAGGCTACCCTCCCTCTCCCACTCCCCACCAAATGTATACAGGTATAGACAAAATATTACATATGATTTCAGGGAGTTCACAGATTTGCTAAAACCTATTTATGAACTTCAGTGGAACATACCCTCCCCCTTGTTATTGATGACTTAAACTGCATGATTTATATTTGGTTAGTTAATGTCTTTTGGCTTCTGGTAGAATGTAAGCTCTGAAGTTATGTTTCATTCATTTATCTTTCCCAGCTCACAGTACCTTGCAAGTCATCAGTACATTATAATTATTTCTAATGAAACAGTTATTAAATCAGTGATGGCGAACCTTTTGAGCTCGGCGTGTCAGCATTTTGAAAAACCCTAACTTAACTCTGGTGCCATGTCACATATAGAGATTTTTTTAATATTTGCAACCATAGTAAAACAAAGACATATTTTTGATAATTATTTTATATATTTAAATGCCATTTAACAAAGAAAAATCAACCAAAAAAATGAGTTCATAGGTTTGCCATCACTGATCTAGGTGCTGACCCTGGCTTCCTGGGCCCACCCTTTCTAATAACCCACCCTTATCCCATTCCAGACAGCCACCCTTTCAGCTCACTCCTCTCCCGCACAACACCTGCCCTAGTGAATCCATCTCCTCTCACCTGGATCCCTACAATAGCTTCCTGATGGAAGTTTGGATTTCCATCTTTTCCTAATCCTCCCCGGCCCTAGGCCATCCTTCACACTGTGCCAAAATGGGCTAAATCACAAATCTAATCATACCACTTACTGATATTCACCAGAGCCCTTTCGCCTTGGCATATAAGGTCCTTAATAACTGGGCTCTGCCCACTTCTCTTCCTTCATTCCCAACACTTCATTTCCTCTGCTCCAGCCAGGGACTAACTATTTCTGAGAGTACACATTGTTCTCTTAACTCATCATATTTTTGTTTCCATTATTTCCTCTCTTAGGATTGCTTAGCTCCTTTGCAGCAATTTAGATGCTGCTTCCAATGAAAAGCTTTTTGCCATCTGATATATCCTCCTTCCCTTCCTTCTTTCCTATTCCCACCCTGCGTATGGCTCTGAGGGCATTGAGTATAGAGGGTGCTCTGTTGAGCACCTTCCTATAATCCCTTAGTAAATGTTTATTGAGTTCAAACACCAGTTCCTTACTTTTCTTTTTTAATATATTTTATTGATTTTTTTACAGAGAGGAAGGGAGAGGGATAGAGAGTTAGAAACATCGATCAGCTGCCTCCTGCACACCCCCTAACTGGGGATGTGCCCGCAACCAAGGTACATGCCCTTGACCGGAATCGAACCTGGGACCCTTGAGTCCGAAGGCGGACGCTCTATCCACTGAGCCAAACCGGTTAGGGCCCAGTTCCCTACTTTTAACACGTTAAGCGCCCTGTCAGTCACCGGTGACTGACACTATACTTTCCGTCTGGAAGACAAAACAGGCTGGGCGCTTAACCTGTTAAGCCTGCCATGGTCGGCAAACTGCGGCTCGAGAGCCACATGCGGCTCTTTGGCCTCTTCAATGTGGCTCTTCCTAAGCCTTAGGAGTACCCTAATTAAGTTAATAACAATGTACCTACCTATATAGTTTAAGTTTAAAACATTTGGCTCTCAAAAGAAATTTCAGTCGTTGTACTGTTGATATTTGGCTCTGTTGACTAATGAGTTTGCTGACCACTGTTAAGAAATCAAATACCATCTGAATTCCCATTGCTAAATTCAGTCCTGGTCCTGTCTGATCCCTTTCTTCCTGAAATCCTTCCCTTGGGATCTGGAACACCACCATCCTTTTCTTTTCCTTTTTCCTAACCAGTTGTCCTCTCTGTGATAGTCTTCTTCTTCTACCACAGGGTTTCTTATCATACTACAGGTTAAACTATAGGTTATGTAGTCACGTTCCCCCAGCTTAGTGGTTCTCAACCTTGGCTGTTACTAATGTTGTGGCCTCACCCCATAACAAAGAAACAGAATTTCTGGAGGATGAGGCCCAGAAATCAGGATTTTAAAAAGATTCCCAGGTGATTCTAATGTGCAGCCAAGGTTGAGAATCACTGCCCTAGGAGATCATTGCATCCTCTCCAGAGTATGAGAGCAGCACTTGTTCTGGGGGGTGTGGAGGGGCTAACCCCTCCTTGTTCTTTAGATATCATCTCTCGGGAACCTTCTCTGGTCTCTGTTCCCACAGACAGCCCAGTGAAATGTCCCTACAAGGAGGTGCTCACAGCAGCCTGTTTCTTCCATCCCAGACCTTCCTATGCCATGTGGTAAGTACCTGTGGATAGTAGGCTCATTTGGGCAGAGACAGTTTCTTTGTCACAGTTTTGGGGGCATTTCAAGCACTCATTGACGATCTGCTGAGTGCCTCGTTATTTAAACAATCCTTGTCTGGAAGGGGAGAGCTTGGGCCAGTGGGGGCTGGCCCGGGCCCTAATACTAGTATTTGCAGGGCCCAGGCCAAAAATACTTATGTGCCTTAATATAAGACTGTAAAATAAAATAGGTTCTACCTTTCTATCTTGGCAAACATACCCCCATAATGCAGAAGGCCAGAGTTGGATTAAGAATTCCCAGAATCCCTGGCGTTCTGCTCCAGATGTGGTAGCATGGGAGAGCCATTCCAGTGCCTGGCCACCCTCTCGTTCACCCCTTGCTTGACTGGACATCATGAAGTGACACATTTGTACATGTGTGGGCACCCCAACCCAAACATCCAACTTCATCCATCTTCTACCCAACCCTCACAAACAGCCTCCTCTTTACCACATCTTAGGCCTAGGGGTGTACACATCAAACCCAGAGACAAGGCCCACAGAGACTCTGGAAGCAGGCACAGAGCCATTTGGGCAGGAGATTCTGGAGTCCCCAGTACCCAGAGGATGTTCTAGAACAGTGGTTCTCAACCTTGCTAATGCGGCGACCCTTTAATACAGTTCCTCATGTTGTGGTGACCCCCAACCATAAAATTATTTTCATTGCTACTTCATA